ATCGTAAACTCAACACAATCAGGAAAAGAAACCCACACAACCATATTGTACTTCTGTTGAATACATTTTGTAGCAGTGCGTCACGTCGGAATATTGTCTAAAATAAAATATTCAATCCCAGCCAAATCTAGGTCAAAGGGTCAGATTGCGTGCATATAATTATAGATAGTTAAAACAAAAAGTATTTGAACTTTTGACGGTTGTTCAACATCTATGCACGGTTACTAAACTAAACTAGTAACCGTGATCTATGAAAACCAGAAAATTTTTAGTAGTCCGAATTTTTGCACGGTCGAAAATAAAACGGAAATTGACCGGTCAAAAGCGGAAGCGGTCAAGAGGTTTGGGGGAAATGAGTACAGTACTTCTTTGTTTGATGAAGCGATGCTGATGCCACATTGTCGCCATAATGAGGCCACAATGAAGCGAAGCGATAATCGCCTAACTTTTTAATGTCGCGACATTGAAGCGATGCTGAAGCCATAACAATGCCATAATGATGCGATGCTGAAGCGAAGGTGAAGCTGAAGTGAAGCCAAAGCTTCCGCGAGAACTGTACTGTACCAAGCATAGTTATTAAAAGTTTTGCTGTGTTGACTTCCCCCTTTATCTCTTCATTTGACTGAAATTTTTAGTTCTCTGGTAGTATTTAAAGTTGTACTCAGAGAGCATTCATTGAGCTTTATTAGGGATAATTGTACTATTGTGTGAAATATTAGTCTGTTTGCACACATTGCATTGTCTTGTTTAGGAATACTGCCGCCCACAAGAGTAGCAAATATTGTTGAGTCCATATCTGTTGGAAAGCTATCCAAATTTGAATACACAATTGAAATGGGAGCCAAAATATTAGTCAAAGCTTAAATAGCATTGAAATTTGAACTGTTATTAGATATTTCCCACAATTTGCAATATTTAAATAAAGTATTTCACATAATACTGTAAAATGACTAATTTTCACTGGGTTTAAACTTCACTGATTTAGCATTTCAGGCATATTCAGTGGGTTTTAAATTCACGGTTTTATCATTTAGATAATGTGTTCTATGCTAAATTTTACATATTCACTGAGTTTTAATTTAGCGCATTTTCCAGTAAGCGCAATAAGCAAAATTAAAACCCAGTGTAATTAACCTTTTTACAGTAGTCTCAAAAATACCAATTCTTCTAGAGTGAAACTTTATAAAACTAAACTAGTATAGTTGTAGATATATTGGCAAACCTACTAACAACTTAGGTTTTGACGAGGTATGTAATAGGTGGTTCATACAAGGGTTTACAGTTTTGAATGTTTGAGCTACCAATCTGGTAATCCAGTGTAAAACACATGATGACATACATGGGACGTAATCCTGATCATAGTGATGATTACATGTATCTGATGTAACTAATCTAATTTATTTATAATGATGAAAAACAAATGAATCATTAAGTAAAGTCAGGAAATTTGGTGCTTCTTGCACTTAGTTACTTAAAAAAGAAAAAGAAAAATTATGTTCAAGAAACGCAGGGACAGTTGATAATAAAGCACAATCTATGTGTTTGAATTGTGTGTAAACAGCTAATTTGAGTCTAGTTTGCATTGTTCATCTCTTTGTACTTCTATGGTCTGTTTATTCTTGAACTTCTTTGTATTTGAATTTCACAGTTATAAGGAAGACAGTGATGATGTCACTGACTCTGATGATATCATTGAGACAAATCAAGTAGAAGAAGACGATAATAAAGAGACGATAGAGAAAGTGTTCAATCACCGAAGAGGAAAGAAAGGACGTAAGTTCATATGTAATAATTTTTGTTATGGTTTCTCAAACTTGTTCCATTGTTTTGTAAAATGCTTGATAATAAAAATAATTATTTTTTGAGGTACTGCATATTTTGCAAAAAATATAAAATTTTGCAACATCAGAGTGAAAGGTCTTGTACATTGGAAATTATTTTTGGAAGTCTAAAACTCTCTCAAAATCTGTCCACAAATTGTCCTGGAATATGTTTGTATGCATGAAATATGTTTGCAGTGAAATTTCTGAAAACAGGAAAAAGTGTTGTTGTCTTGTATGAAATAGATGTTCAACCCAGTCACAGTCACCCACTGATTGTTGAGGTAAAATCTTGAGAGGGATTCCAGATTATTGTGAAAAGTGAGTAAAACAGCAAATACATTTTTTGGGGGCAATGGACAAATGCCACTTGTAATCTTGCATATAATGTACAAGAGTCAAAAGCATAATTGACTGGGGCAATGTATTTTTCTCTCTGTATAGAGACTGGATCTAAGACCACTGTGTATAACATTGAAGCAACCAAAGACGATGCAGGTACTCAGCCAACTCAGGGAAACACAGAAGAAAATGATGAAACAGAAATTCAATACCTTATCAAATGGAAAAACTGGGCACATATTCATAATACCTGGGAAACTGAGGAAAGTCTTCGAACGCAGGCTGTCAAAGGGCTGAAGAAACTTGACAATTATAAACAGCGAGAAGAGGAGCTTGGGCTGTGGTAAGATGATCTCTTGTCTCTGATTTATTCTGAGAATTTATATATTGTATTTGTTGCTCTATTAAAAACACTTCTTTACTCTAATAGAAGCACACGAAACTCTAATTTAGCGGATATAGGGTCATTAAAATAATTTGAAACATAGACACGCTACTAACAGAGCAGATGGGAAACCAAAAAACATTCAACAAAAATTTAATGTTAGCCTTGCCTCGTTTCCAAAATCTCATCTAGTTGTGCTATAAAATCTGCTATAAAAGCATGTTGATTGTCGCCCATTGACGAAAAGAACGTGACTGTTCAAACATATCGGAAGTTGAAAGTAAAAATTAAAATCATCTATTCATTGGTGGAGAATAAATCCACCTGTCCAAATCAGTGATGTACTAGTTCTTAGCAAGATAAATAAATACAAGTTGAACATCAAAATTTTTGGTTCATCATATTTATTTCATTAACATACCCCTGTATTTGGTCTCTCACATTTGGCCAAAACTAAAAACTTGACCAAAGGGATAACCAGTTTCTGTATTTAACTGTTCTAGCTTAAAATCTACCGGTCTTGGACAAGTAAACAGACCTTAATTTTGATCCTTACTTATGACTAGAACCACTCTCATGAAGCTGATCACAGCTGTTTTCATAAACCTCAATGGGGATAGCCTTCAATTTATTTTTACTGACCTTCAAAAAAATTTCGTAAATTTTGTAATACTGTACATTGCTAGAAATTTGTTCATATTGATTTTAGGGTGTTCAGCTGGAGTAGAGGTTTTCAGAAAGTGAAAATCACACTGATAATATTCATGCTAATTAAAGCTATTATGCTATAAAAAAAATATTGAAGAGTCAAATAATTACTGTAAAGAAATTAAAATGGATACAAACATTGCTGCCAGATATTGTTCATATATAACACATTAAAAAAATTTGCTGAGTAGTACTAATTTGATTGATAATTTTGATAACAGAAATAAAACAAATATATACACTAATTAGCATATCTATCAATAGATGAATACTAGAGTTGCTGCATTGATTTTGTAAATCGTCATAAATTCTTCTGTGGCCAGATTTGCCTTCCAGTAAAATGTTCATAATTGGTAATCATCTTAAGATGTATTGATTTTCTTCCATACTTGACTGTGTGATTTATTTAAAATTAATGCAAATTTAGTGATTACAACAATACAAGTTAATTTGACAACTGTTTTAAGTATGTTTCATTTATGATATAGCTCTGAAATTTTTATAGAATATTGAAAAATCCATATAGATTCTATATAATATAAAAAAAGTTAATCTTGATTTACATGTACCAAATACTGTAAAATGACTAATTTTCACTGGGTTTAAATTTCACTGATTTACCATTTCAGGCATATTCAGTAGGTTTTAAATTCACGGTTTCGTCATTTAGATAATGTGTTCTATGCTAAATTTTACATATTCACTGGGTTTTAATTTAGCGCATTTTTCCAGTCAGCGAAATAAGCTAAATTAAAACCCAGTGAATAATTACCCCCTTTACAGTATACTCAGCTACATCCTTAATATTTTTAGCATTGAAATGTTCATTGCTGTTTTTTTATTTTTCTGACTCGTGATATTTACATTATTAAATAACTCTGTTGTCACAGGCGATGATAGTCATTACAAAACTGGTGGATTCATCAGTGGCTTACAGCATGTCTGTCATGATTTGTGTTGAATTCTCTCTATTCTCCGTACCCACAGGAAGACTATGACAACACCCGAAGATGTAGAATACTATGAATGCCAGCAAGAAATGGCATTACAACTTTATGGGCAGTACCAGGAAGTTGAGAGAATTATCGGTAAGGCATAACCAACATGTCTCCGCAAATTTTGCAATAAAAAGTTGTTGTTTTTTCAATTCATGAAGCAAAAAGTTAAGATATAAGATCAAGGATGTTTCTGAAAAAGCACATACACTTTAAAGGAGTTAGACAAATTATCTTGTGGAATATCTTCACCCCTCCCCCCTACATTTGGAAATTTTACAAGTGGTAAATCTACTACTGTAAAACCTGTATTAGAAGCCGCACCCATTCTTTTTGAACAATTGAGAACCAAAAATACACCATTTCTCATGTGTAGATGCTCTAGTAGAAGCCGCATCCCTTCTGTTGCATTGCAGCTTTTAATACAGATTTTACAGTAAGTTGTATATTTGATCTGGTCTAAATGTATTTTATTGACTTGAAGATATATGTATGTAAACTGTCAAGTAAGTAAAGTGATGAGAAACACTTGACTTGCAAAATTAAACCAGAACATGAAAGTTTCATTTTTTTTTTTTTTTTTTTTTTTTTAAATACACAGCCCACACTAATCAGAAAACAGCAAGAGGTCAATTCAGGACAACCTGACTTCTTGTGTAAATGGAAAGGTCTGCCCTATTGCGAGTGTACATGGGAAGATGGGGAACTGGTATCAAGAAATTCGCAAACTGCAATTGACAATTATTTTATACGATTGCGGTCTTCAAAAGTGCCATCTAAAATAAGCAAGGTATGTTCAAAGTAATTTCTAATGTGTATGTGAGACGGACAAATTTCAGGGGTTTCAATGCATCAGCCAGCATCAAAAATACTGAATTGAGACAGCATACCTGTCTTCCTGGATGGTTGACGGAGTCTGTACATGTACATTTATCTATACCTTTCACACATCTGCTCAGTATTTTTTATTCTATGCATGTTGTTTTATTACTGTTGTCGAAATGTAATTGTACTCTTGCCTACTTGTCAATTTTGCTACCATTGTTGTGAAAGCATGCCCAGTACAGACTCAATGTAACTAATTTTCATCCGTTCTTTCAAACTTGCATATGGAGTGGTGAGCAATATACAAGTGTGTGTAGAGTGTTGGGAGATTGTGTTCAAAATCGTATTAATATCGAATTTCCTTGCAGGTGCTTAAACAGAAGCAACGCTTTGTAGCTCTCAAGTCTCAACCATCTTTTCTTGGTGGTGCAGATAAAATGGAGCTGAGGGATTACCAGCTGGATGGCCTGAACTGGCTACTTCATTCATGGTGCAAGTGAGTAGATTACTGTCTTAGTATAGCAGTGTACATTTCATTTTGGATCTTTACAGCGGTTCAGAGAATTATTCGGACTGTCCGTTAGCTAGATGGATTGCAACTTTTGGTAACACTCTGAGTTTGCTTTTGTTTGCTTACAAAGCTGCATTGTTTGACTGATAGCATGCTGTGTGGGATGGTCAACATATAATGATTTTCAAATCTAGTGTACATATTCAAGTATTTTCTGTAACAATGCAGTTACCCTGTCTGTATGTCTGTATGTATGTATGTATGTCACTTTTTTTGTTCCACCGTTATCTCAAGAACCACTAACCAAATTTTGGTGAAACTTGGTACATAGATGCTCTGGGATAATGCGCAGAGTTGATTAGGTTTTGGTAAAAATCTATGAATATTAATTACCTAATTTGCATGATACTTAGCTGATTTTTAGCTGTTCCAAGACTGTTCCACTGATATCTAAAGAACCACTCATTGGATTTCAATGAAACTTGGCACATGGATGCTCTGAACTAATGCGCAGATTTGATTAGTTTTGGATAAAAATCTGTTAATATTATTAATTATCTAATTTACATAATGATTAATCAATTTTCGGCTAATCATAACATTTCAATAAAACTTGGTATATAGGTGTCATATGACACTGCACAGACCTGATAGTTTTTAGGGTAATATCAGTACATATTAATTACCTAATTTGCATAATTAATTAATTTTCACCTTTTGATATTTCGAGTAGTAATGATCATGTTTCAATGAAACTTGGTACATAGTTACTTGAGGACTGTGCAGAGACCTAATTAGTTTTTGGGTAAATATTTGTGCATATTAATCATCTTATTAGCATAATTAGTTAATTTTCAGCTTTTCACCTGATATCTCAAGTACTAATCATCACATTTCAATGAGACTTGCGACATAGATATTCTAGGACTATGCAGAGACCTGATTGATTTTGGGATAAATAATTGTGCCTATTAATTACCTAATTTGCATAATTAATTTTTTGCTGTTCTATGGCTGTTGCACTGATGTCTAAAAACCACTCATTGGATTTCAATGAAACTTTTAAAGAGTACCCATCACATTTCAATGAACCTCAGACTATGCACCATATTAGTTTTTGGTAAATATTTATGCTTCTTAATCACCTAATTAACATAATTAATTAATACTGATATCTCAAGTATTGATCATCACATTTGAATAAAACTTGGTTCATAAATGCTCTAGGACAGTAGACAGCCTGATTAATTTTGGGTTAAAATCTGTTCATATTAATTCTCTAATTAGCATAATAACTAATATTTTTTGGTTCTAATCACATTTCAATGAAACTTGGTACATTGTGCAGACCTTATTAGTTTTACACTTAAATCTGTTCATATTAGTTACCTTATTTGCATAATTAGTTTTCAGCTATTCCATCAATATCTCAAGTATAAGTAATTTTGAATTAATTTTTAATGTGTCTCCAAAACTCTCACCACACGGGAGTTCTTTCTAAGAATCAAAGGGCATATAGGCATAAACTTCTTAATTCCTTCTTATGATAAAATTGGTGCAAACTTAATGGTTGTGTCAACTTCAGCATCTAATAGCCAAATAATACGAGAAGAAACACAATACATGTATACTAAATTTGTCTGGGCTGTTTAGATTATCTACATGGAATCTGCCATTGTTTTAGTAGCCTCATTAATTAGTATGAACAATATGAAGTCAATTGCTTTTTTCTTTGAGTTGTTGAAAGATACTTGCACTAAAAGTTTGTATGCAGCATGTATTGTTTCTCATTTGTTTTGTTTGTAGCATAGCTGTTATCAGTCATAGTAATCATTTCAAATATATATAGAGGCAGGCTTCCTGCATGTCAAAGAATTGACTGCACTGTCCATTCACTATCCTAACTTATTGAGAAATAAATTATTTGTGTTTCAGAGAGAATGGTGTGATTTTAGCCGATGAGATGGGTCTTGGTAAAACAATTCAAGCGATAGCATTTTTATCGTACCTGTTTAATACCTATCAACTGTATGGTCCTTTTCTATTGGTGGTTCCACTCTCAACAATGACAGCGTGGCAACGAGAGTTTGAAATTTGGGCACCTGATCTTAATGTTGTAGTTTATATCGGTGATCTGGTTAGTCGAAATAAGGTGAGTAATTATAACGAACGACATGATCTTGGTATCATTTAGCGTAGTGCAGGTAACATACTAAGGAGTTGAGAAATGGTACATTTGCAAACAAAATCTACTCAAACAATTTTGGAAAAAAATTCTTCTGGAATAGTTACTGGAAAAAAAGCCATTGCAAACAGTATATGCAAAGACATGCCTCACTCTTTGATTTGAGAGATAGAGTTCAAATCATATGTACCATATTTGCTTATTTAGTAGAATATGGTCCGTGTAAATGACACATGCATTTATGGTCAAATGATCCAACATAAAACATGTTGCATTTCTGGTTTGTGTGCGCTTATGAAAAGCTTTCTAATAAAACCAATTAGGTATGTGCTCAAATCTGTTCTGAACTAATTTGGTTGACAAATCTAATTTTAATGTGAAACACATGATGATATACATGGGACGTAATCCTGATCATAGTGATGAGTACATGTATCTGATGTTAATATTCTCAGTCCTTTAACCTGAGCACACAGGTACAACATAGTTTGATATTTTCACCTTGCTGATTTCGCTCTGGCCAGATCATGGATTGAAGTCTGATTGAAATGAAAACAAACATCTACCCAGTTTTCTGTTCAGTCTTCGGTGAATGTTATAGATCTGCTTGTTGATAAATCTGCTTGTTGATAGAGGAATGCATTTTCTTGCCTTCCTCTCTTTCTATCTTGGCCCCCCTCTTGATTAAGATGAGGCTTCATCAGTAATTTTGGACTACCTTGATTTGAGTACAAAATACGTCACTGTCACTTTGAAAAGGCTTTCTCAGATTAAAAGCTTTGTCTACAGAATTACACATGAAAGTATATTGCTTGACACAGGCAGAAAGAATTCCTCAATTGTTGGATATAGTCCTACACAGTACATTTCAAAAATGCATTTCTGAGATACACCAATACCCCTGTTTGTTGACCACTTGCTGTGATTATTTCTTTTCTCCATTTTAACAAGAACATGTTGAACATATTGAATGTTTGAGACATTATAATTGGTGCAAAATTCTGAAGCTGATTTCTTTAATTCGACACACTTCGAAGAATACTGTATGTGACACACCACTTAGTTTTGTTCTCTCCTCTTTCAGATTCGTGAATATGAATGGTGCTTTGCTGGTAATAGAAGTAGACTTAGATTCAATGCACTCATTACAACTTATGAAATTCTTCTCAAAGACAAGGTGTGTGTCGCTGTGACAAATTTTGTGCTTCTTGTGGTTATCAAACATGTTAAAGAGTGTATTCTAGACATCTTGTCGCTAATCTGGATTTTACACATCTTAAATTGTAAGAGCACAAAGGAAGGCTAATATACCAATGTCTGGCTTTGTGAATGGGTCAAATCTGTCTCGCCAATATCTCAAGAACTAGTGGGTGGACTGGAAAGCAATTTGGTATACAAATACTTTATGATGAACTCCAGACCTAATTTGCATATTTGCATAATTAACTTCAGTGGATTTGACAAAAAATGCGTACCCATCTAAAAAGGGTACATGGAAATGAACCAGTTAATGAAGTTTCACCTAAAGAGGGCGCTATATGGCAAACTCTGTTCTTGGTAGCAGTCATTTCTTTTCCTCTAGTCAGTCTCTGCAAGTAGTTTTAGGAAATATAGGGTACAATTCTTTGTTATATTTCTAATATATGATGTGCAAGCCTTTTGTGTACCTACACTTATTAAAATGTATTTGTATTTTCCAGTCATTCCTCAACAGTGTGAATTGGTCCAATCTCATAGTGGATGAAGCCCATCGATTAAAAAATGATGACTCGCTGCTTTATAAAACTCTAATGGACTTCCACACACATCACAGGTTGCTTATCACTGGCACACCTTTGCAGAACTCTTTGAAAGAACTCTGGTCCCTACTTCATTTCATTATGCCGGTAAAGTAAGTTGTAACCATGCTAAGGAGTATAGTAATTGCTATGGACTACAACTTCGTCAATTGAATGAGAAAGATGCTTCTAAAGTCGCCTGCATTTGTGTTTTTTGTAGTTTTGAGTTGATGTCAAAGTTTAATCAATCTAACATCCATATAATGTATTTTGTGAAATATAGTATAATTACAAGTAGGGATTTTATGAATTCCTGTCTCATCATTGGGGCAAAGTACTGTGAATACTTGTATAAAGAATGAAAGCCCAGATAATGCAGAGTGGATGAAAATAAAAAAAAAAACTGAGTGATTTTTCATTGCTCTTTACCAATATGCTATAATGGCCATAACACTGCCAGCCAACAGCAAGAGAATGCAATGGACATTCACTGCTGCTCTTGTGATCATCAATACCTAGCTTTTCAGTGTCAAAATACACAAATGTACAATCTTTAGTAAAATAAAAAACAGTATCCTAGAAATTATATCAATGATATGTTTTTAAAAATGATGGAAAAATATTGCGCTTGATGCTGCCATCTTGATTACCTCAATCATCAATCCACTCAAACTGTTGCACAGTATAATTCACCATTAATGTTAGAGAGAAAATATCTATGAAAATAGCAACTGGTAAATGAATGAGCCAGACTGTTCAAGTGATTCTATGTTGTCTAAAATGTATTTGATAACATCTTATTCTTTTCTTGTCTTTTGCAGGTTTGATTCGTGGGAACAATTTGAAAAAGAGCACATGGCTGATCAGAATGGTTATACAAGTTTACACAAGGTGTTAGAACCATTCTTGTTGAGGAGAGTTAAAAAGGATGTTGAGAAATCATTGCCAGCTAAAGTAGAACAGATCTTACGGGTAGAAATGTCGGCCAAACAGAAGCAATATTACAAGTGCGTTTGCAATTTTATTCAAATAACATGCTTTCATGGTTTTCAACTTATTGATCTAGGGTTATATCACCAAATACTTAAGTGGTCTAGGGTAATACCAAACTATATTTGACAAAATGAGCAAAACGAGAATGGCCCACATTCCTGTATAAATCATCATCATAACGTTATAGCTGAAAATGCCTGGCCATTTTGAATTAAAATTCATAATACTTTTGTGAAGTTCTTAGTCGAGAAAATAAAGCCTCAATTTGCCCTATGTATTCTAACTTTCATAAAATTGTGATGCCAATATCGAGGGTTATTTGACCTGAATGATTATGATTGGTTTTTCTTTAATCCCGGTAGATGGATTCTTACGAAAAATTATAAAGCGTTGAGTAAAGGTCTAAAGGGAAACTTAAGTGGTTTTCTAAATATTATGATGGAATTGAAGAAATTATGTAATCATCCTTATCTTATACGTCCAGAAGACAACGGTATAACCGATCTCGAGGTAAATAATGATCACATGTGAAATGACACACAGGGTTACTAAGATGCTGTGCAATTCACAGGATATTCGCATGGTGTTGTATATCAGTGTTTTCAATTGCCGAATAATCAAAACTTAGAACTCCCAAGTAATGATAATTGGAGGTACATTTGAAATTTCAAAAAATCAGTCTTAAGAGTGAATTCTCAATATTAATGACCTGCCCATTCAATATTCAGTGCATACTTGGGCATGATACAAATTAAATCATAATTATCCACAGATTGCAACCTAAATCTTATCAAACCTGTGGATTATCTCAGATAATCTACATGTATGTATCAAATTTCATTGAAATCTGTTGGTTGGTTTTTGAGTGGCTAATTAATATACAAATAATGTTAATATGGACAGATTTCAACCAAAAACAGACCATCACAGACCATCTATGTATCGAGTGTCGTTGAAATCTGTTAGGTAGTTTTGAGAAAAAAAGAAAGAAAAGGCTTCAATTTGGCTATTCAATGTGCAAATTAGGTTGCAACTCAAAATTATTCAGGTCAGCAACAGTGGAACAGACACATGTTATGTGCCCACACAGACTTCCATTATGTGCTTCATGCACAAGAGTAAAAAATCAGACTAGCGAAATTGGCAATCAAGTGAACACACTACCATATTTGCCTATATTCAAGCTTTCAGACAATGTATAGGTTGTTATAGTAGAATGCTTAGTAACTTTTAAAGTGTTCGAATCGCAGATACATTTGTAACCCCTGTTGCTACCTTAAGTTTGTTATTCTTCTCATCAGAACCTAATTAGAACCAGTGGTAAAGTACATTTATTAGATAAACTACTAACCAGGCTACACGAGACGGGACACAGGGTGCTGATCTTTTCCCAGATGGTTAGGATGTTAGATATATTAGCTGATTATCTTTCTATGAAACATTGGCCATTCCAGGTAAGTTGTATTCTGAAAACCATTTCACCACTACGTCATTACTGCATTTATCTGAAAGATCGCCATGAACTTTAATCTTTTATACTCAGTACATAAACTTATGTAAAATATGTTTCACGTTTCTGCGTACATCATTTTGAACTATGCGCCTCGGACATTCTTTTCCTTTAAGGCATTCCAAAAAGCGCTTGTACTCGTACTTGTCTCAAATTCCCCCAGTATTCAAAAAAAAAAAAAAACTCCTCGCCGCTTCATTTTAAAATTTCCATGAAACAAACAGAATTTTTTTTTTCCTGGCCTTAACTACAAGAATGTTGCGAGGGGGAGGGGAAAAAAGTGCCTTAAAGAAATACATATAAATTGAAACATTTCCTGAGATATCCCACGTTATGCATGAAATTTAACGAAAAAACAGGACAAACAAAGGTCATTGTGGTGGCTTCCGAACATCGCGCATGGTTTGTCAAACATGAAAATATTTGTGGGCATTTCTCGGCTTAATAATGTGCTGTACACATTTGATGATGATTACGACATTGAGCTATAAAAAAAAGAAACGTAGATTCTAGATTGATCTTTGTGACAGACGTTAGATTGCGCCTTTCACACAATATGCAACATCTTGCAGTGAACAGAAAATATTCTCAGAGACCGACTGTAACAGGAAGTCAGACAAATAACATTTGAGGGATTGTGATGTAGTTTAGCCTCTAGGAATTGCTCTAAATCTAGAATTCAAGTCTTTCTGTAATATTCTGATGATACAATCCAAATGCTCAGAGGTCGAAGCATTTTTGTTGGATCGATGGACCGGAATTCCCAACTTGTTTTGAGATGCAATTACAGTCAAACCTGTCTATAGCGGCCACCCAAGGGACTTTGAAATTGTGGCCTTTATAGACAGGTGGCCTTTCTATACAGGTTCACTAATTTATTCATGAATATTAATTAGGCACTGAATGTATTAAAACAGATCTCGCAACCCCATTTG